TATAGGTTATTTATTATTTACGCTTTAATGGCATTTTTATAGAACCCTTAAAAATAGTATTTACAATAATTAAAATAGGTATCAACAGTATGGATAAAGTACCTATTAAATGTTTACAAGAGATCATAATTTCTTTAATGACTGAAAAAAAAAAAATTGAAAAGAAGTATTTAAGAATTTCTACAAGTGAAATATATTTTATTTTAAGGATGTCTTACCCAGATGTGTTGTTCCTTGTCTAACTCGCTCCATTTGTATTTTGTTGATATATAAATTTGAAAGCAATTTATCAGAAGTCTACAATATTAAAATGCCCATAACTTTAATTAACTCGAATATAAAAAATAACACTAATATCATTTTAACCAACCGTGGATTCTTCTGAACAAAAAATTTGGTTTGCGTTAGTAAGACAGAGTCAACAAATACAGTTATGACATCTTCTTAATAGTAGGATGGCCTATATATATGATTATATGAAGAACATAATGGAGGAATAAATTTCATTCAGATAGTTTAGACTTTTAGAGTTACAAAACTCATTCAATACTTATTCAAAACACCAAACAGGTGGAACACTCAATTTTACAATATTAAATTATTGTTGGACAAAGCTAATACAAATAAATTACTACCATATTATTTATTTACAGTATTACCTATGGCTATAATTATTAGGTGACTTAGTATATTTGTAAAGTTATCATACATGTATTTATTACATGTACCTACTTACAATTTAAAAAAAAAATTGAGCTTGTTATTTCTGCTGTTATGTTGTTTGGAAACAGTGAAATTGTATTGAAAACCTATAACATTAAACTTTAAATTGTATAATAAGATCTAGACGTATGTAGACATTTGGACATAAGATATAATCGAGGATATAATAATAAGGTAGTCTAATATCAACCCGGAACCTATATTGTAATGATATACTTTAGTCAGAGACAACTCTGGCCGTCTCTTAAGAATATACAACGATAAATAATTTAAACTAAAAATATTATAAATAAATAAATAATATATCTATTAGGTATAGGAAATTATTGATAAAATGACCGATTAAACCCCGGTTAACTTTAATCAGAAATGGTACAACTGGCCCTTAGGAGACTACTGGTATGAGTATTTACTATTTAGTAATTAGTACTCAAGTACAATCTTAATTTGCTTTTGATCCATAAAAAAAAAAATATGTAAAAAATTGTTCCATACAATGTACATAAATAGAATATATACCTATATAGTATAAAGTACTATATAGGTATAAAGGGAATAATACTTCCAAATATCACATACAATATATGCAATATTTGGGATATATATATGATACTTCATATTTTAATGATCTATGAAAATTATGAAATCTATTGTAACATGAAATTTGTTTTGATTATGACAAAATAATCATAGATACCTAAAGTTTATTATTATTATTTTTTGGCAGTGGACATAGTCTATATCATGTCAATTGACAGGAAACATGCATTGTGACCACATAATATAACTTCTGGTCTCGTTTGTTCAACCATTATTATTTTAAGTATGATACCCAGGAAGTGGCCGATGTGACTTGTGAGTGAGACTTTCTATAGAGATGTAATTATCTGATGCCTCTAGCTCTATGGGTACAATATTTTTTTATGATATTGACATTATTATAGGTAGGCCACATTGTATTTAATCTAAAAACTATGAATAATTATACGGTGAATTATTAGGCCGTACAATTTCCTTATAGGTAGTGGGTAAATGACAAATTCTGTCAACAAAATCTGATGACCCGGTATATACAATTTAAGAAATCTAGGTACCTGCCAACTGGAGATTTATTTTATCAAAACTGTCAAGGCCATCTGCTTGTCAATAGACGTTAATATAACCAAAGACATATACCTACTAGTTTTTTATACTTTGATTTCTCTAATGAATTCAAATACTTATACTTACACATAGTTTTTTATTTCTTTTCTAAAGGCAACCACCTCAATGTACCTTTATAAGTATAATAATTATACGTAGGTATATGTTTTAATTCATTTCTCTAAATATGTGCTCAAACTTATAATACATTGTTATACCTACCAACAAGTTTTCTGTCTAGAATAAAAATATAACTGGAATCTTGATTTTTTTTTTTGTAAATTATTTATTGCATAAGTATTGTATTGTAATTCATATCAAAATGTAAGCATGGTTGGAATTATTAGGTAGGTACAACAAAACAGTATTAAATAAATTATTTATTTGTTAAATAATGGTGTGATAAAATGAGAAGAAATGTTACAAATTAAAAATTAAATTTAGGTAGGTAGGTAAGTAGTTAAATAACATTTAACATTTTTAATGCACCATTATGATTTATGAAGATTGCTACTATTGCATCGAGTGTTGCATAGATACTTTGCAACATTTTATTTTTATTTAAAAAACAAATTTTAATTTTAAGCTCTAGCTTTAGGTATAGGAACAATTAAAAAATTAATACATAAGCCTATTTTTAAAAACCAATAGTGTTTTTGCGCCGCAATTGTGATTTAAAATATATTGGGGCCATGTTCTGAAAACCGGTAATGTCCTGGTGTAATCAAAAAGAAAGGCAACTCGAAATTACTTATATGGCTGATAATAGTTTATTTTACTATATCTAAAGACTAAAGTGATTATGCTTTGGTACATTTTGTATTATACATATACTATACAGTTCTCTCTAATGATATCACGTAAAGGAGAATAGTTCCAGGGACATTAAATCATATGTACCTATCAATAGTTATTCATAATTTTAAAACTTTATCAAAGATTTAATGAAATAATATATAGCTTATAAAATAATAAATAAATCTTATTGATATAGGTAAATCGTTATTCTTTGCGAGTATTCTTTAAAATTTTACATTATAATTTTTAATTCATCCATTAATTTGACTCTAAATTCTTTTCAACAACTTACATAATTGTATGGCACAAATCCAAAATTATATCAATATTGATGTTTACTAAATGTGAGGCTAAATGTTAGGACTTAATGAACGAGGTTAGAAGTTAATACATTTAAACAGAACAAACAAAAACCTAGGTACATCTTACAATTAATTTTTTGTAAAATGTACAGAAATTACATAATAAATATTGAAGCTTTTGCAGGAACTAACTACTTATTCTATTAAATTAAATCAGTATTCAGGTAAATTATTAACGTCTTATAGGTACTTGTACAGTCTTAACCTCAGCCTTAACAAACAATACAATTTTAAATAAGCCCACAGAATATAACTACCTATACAAATTAAATAGGCTAAGTTTTGTAAATATTGAATTTAAATACATTCCCATATTAATTAATAGGTAAGCACAGGTAAGCCAGTACTAATAAATAGAACCAATGATAGAATTCACTTAGGTAGTTTATAATACAAACGTGTATGTTATAAGCGAGTTTATAAGTATGAATTCATAAATATTATACAATTAAGTAGTATTATATCAGTGGACATTCTAACGGACATCCAATTCACTCAATTGGTTCTGTGTTTAAATCTCTCTTATATTATGCAAGTATTAGTTATTGTTTTAATTTGGTGCTAATTCAGTTTGCGCTCTACCGGTTTTTGTGTTCTACACTCGGTCTACGTTCGGTACACGGATATTGGACTCCTACCAATAATTGAATGTGAATGCGAGGCAGGATCAGAAATTCATTCTGATGAATGGGCTGCATATAGATTTCTTACAAGCCGAGGTTTTGTACACAAGACGGTAAATCACCAAATCTCATATGTCGATGCAAATACAGGAGCCCACACTCAAAACATTGAGAGGTCATGGTTGGACGCGAAAATTAAATTATTGAAGAAAATGAGGGGTGTTCCTCTAAATCATTTGCAGTCCCATCTTGATCACTATTGCTGGCAACTTTACCATCAAGACAGTCCGGACCTTTTTCTCGCCATGTTAGAAGACATTCAGATCGTGAATAATCGTTTTTGAATGAATATAAAATAAATCTCAGTCAAAACGACGTATGACGACTGTAGATCATACAGACTCAGACACTTGTCTATAAAGAGTCATTAATAAAATATAAAATATAAAATAACCGACTCGGACACTTGTCTGTAAACAGTTATCAATAAAATAATATTAAAAAATATAAATATACCGACTCAGACACTTTTCAGTAGAGCGCATTCCGAATCAGCACCTTTAATTTTACAGATTGTAAATATTTGTTAATTGTTTTATAAATGTTTCTAGAAATAAAGGATTGTAAAGTACATTACTTATCATGGTCATAACCCATTCACTAAAAGAGAACAAGTACCTATTCATCAATTTCATATCATTTAAGATGAAATACAATCATAGAATCATTGTTCCTAACCGAGTAGTAAATTGATCTAATCAAATTGTTTCTGTGCTTAATACAAGTCTAAAATATACAATGGGTTTTATCAATATTCTTTAGAATGTGGATAATTTGAGAAGGTACCAACCTACCTATTTATATTTTATTAATTTAATATCCTTAAAGATAAATGTCCGTTCTCACTTTGAAAGAAAAACTAGTTATTCTTTCATTTGTCCACATATTTGAAAAGATTGTAAGAGATGCTATTTAGCACTTGTATGCCCAAAGTATTACTGCTTATTCTGAAAATTGAAATAAAATACCTAAGTAATTTTCACAAGTGTCAAAATGCAGTTAAATTAAATATTGTGGTCAAAGCCAACATTTATACAGAAAGATGTATGGTTTTTTTTTTGCATAAAACACCTACATAAACCTATATAATTTTGTTGATAACGATAGGCACACAATTAATGGGTATACTATTATTAATTATTATATTATCTTCAAGAGTAAAACCAACGCTGGTGATAGGTTTCTGGACAATTGGTGGTGGACGGATACCCAGCAGTGACATGCCAGCTGTGCTATATATAACTGGGCTAAATACCTACCTATCTATAACGAATAATAATATTGGACTTACCGGCGTCGAAGGTGACCATTCTCTGTTTTCCGAAACATCTTCAGCCATCTTCACCCTGCAAGACACAGTACAACAAGGTTGGTGATAGGTACGTTTGGTTGTGCTTGGCTGTTGCCTGTTGGTAGTGTTTACCTGTGATCTTATCGTCGTCGCACCATCTGTAGCTACGGATATTGTGTTGAGCACCACCACCACCGTCAATGGGGTCGCGAAACTCTGTCCACTACAGCGGTCGCAACGACGGTCGCACGGTGGCCCGCTGCATTTTATTCAACCGCACGATACGCGTCGTTGCGATGGTCGGACCATCGGAACGTTCACACGACGAAAATTGAGGTACCGCGACCCCGAGTAGCCGTTACGGAGAGAAAATATTTATTATGAAAACGCCGAAATTCTCGCTTTAACTGTCCTACGGTTATACTCTCCAGTCTCCAGTGACGACGACGGCAGCGGGAGTGTGTATCAAGTATCAACTATCAACGACGAAGGAATCAAATTAAAAAAAAAGAAATGTGAATAAATAAATGATAGGTAGAGTTGTAGATACTGGTGTGTTTTCCAATCAGTGGCAGCGAGGTTACAGTGTGGCCAAATATGAACGCGAAAAATGTCGTTTTACGGCGCACAGCCGTCGATTTTTTTGTACCATTGAAAACGGATAACATAAATAAGTATAATATTATAACTCAATATAAGTATATTAATTACTATGATTTATGAATATTTTATAACCAGTGCTCGAATTGGAGAGGTGCGCAGGGGGACGGAGCTCCTCTACTATTTTTATTTATGTTTTGCGTACCCTAACTATTTTTTTTTACTTGGGGGGACGGTACAAACTAATGACCAATGTAATTTTTATTAAAATTTGGAGTGGATCTAAATTGTTGTCAAAGATAAACCTAACGAATTTACATTTTTTAATATAAAAATATTTTTCATCCTATCTATGGTTTTGAATAATAGTGTTTAACCTTTTTGACTAGTGATCCACTGTTTTTGTAACAATATTTTCACGACTCAGTTTATCTTTGACAACAATTTAGATCCATTCCAAATTTGAATAAAATGTATTTTGGTCATTAGTTTGTAAATATCTGTAGACTAGTGTTCAAAATTGACATAGGTATGCGTCTGAAGAACAAATTATAATTATTAAGATATTATCACTGATAATTATAATTGTTGTACTACCGAAATATATAGGCATTATTTCTATTAATTTAAATTTCGAAAAATAAGGTGAATATAAATTATAAATCCATATTCACTTACATGTTACATAGGCACATATAGTTAGTATGTTATATTTTTAAATTTGGAATAGAATAAAGTTAAAATTCTGTAACTAGGGTGACATGTAGTAGTGAAAAATTAGGAATTGGTGAAGGGGGGTATGGGGGGCTAAGCCCACCCTACGAATCTGCGTTGAGTAATTTTGCACTTGGAACGCAGTTTATAAATTATTGGATTGAGCTCTTCTACTTAATAATTCCCAATTCGAGCTCTGTTTATAACTATAATAGTGTAGTATATACTATTATATTCTACTGTATAGTGTATGCCCGTGTACATCTGTAGACCTTACTCCTGGTCATAGAATAATAATGACTAAGATTTACGATCGTGTTTTTTGGCAATTGAATCTGAACCTGAAGTTTATTTATTAAAACATAATTCAAGAATCTTTAGTTGTTCGAATACGTAACGTATTTTGAATTACATATTTTGGACTTAATTCCACAGTTTTATTTTTTATTTCGTATATTTCCAGCACCGATATCTCTGATTTTCCGAGTTTTAATAAAAGAATTATTTCATAATTTATGAATAATTGTTCCTTTGATTAGAAACGGACGGCACCATAGAGAACTTCTAGATAGCGCTGTACGTTACACCGTACGTCGTATTATACAAGAAACTTGTAAGTACCGTATTTCAATCTGTTCTCCCTCCTCAGTCCTCAGTATTTAAACTGTTCTAATGGTGACATAGTGTAACTATGCTCTAGGAAGTAGAAGTTTTGTACAAAAATAAAAATTAATAAATAATTAATACCTAAGTAATATAATAATATATTGTAGTTTACTTCATATTGTTATACATGTTTTTAATAGACAATAAGCTAGCATAAATTTGATATAATAGGTATGTAATAAATGCCACCTTATTTAGTAAATATAATTTAGAGACTTCCACGGATTTTAGATTTTAAGAGCGAAACAAAATTTTTCATTTTAAAATAATTAAAAGAATTAACGCGCTGGTTGAACCGCCTGCAGTGGTTGTATGGATAAAATTAAAATGACGCAAAGTTACAAGTAGAAAATGTAGTAAGCCCGTAAAAGCACTGATGTGACTATGGGAGGTTGTAGGGTTATACAATAGGGCAAATGACAACGCTGTACAAACAATACTGTCAGCGAGTGTCACTTACTCGCTCAAAAGTCATCTAATTGGACCAAGTTTATTATTATCATCGAATAGCACTCTGCGTCTTTGAGTCTTAGAATTTATATACATTTGTTTGATTTACATTTAATTTTACACGTTTTGTACCCTAAAGCTATGACTCCGTTTACTTTAAGGATTGAATATTTTAATTAAAACCTTTATGGTTATATTAACCTAACTAGAAACCTCAGAATCAAAAAATATTATTTCACATTATTAAAGTAATTTTTTCAACATTAAATTTGAATTACCTATAGGTAATATACCTATATAATCACAATATAAATGAATATTATGTTTTATACATAATTTTGAACAATTTACTATAGCTTGTGGTGGAAGGTGGAGCAAATAGCAAATCAATTACAAAGAGTTAACAACAATATTTATACATATATTATGCATATTTATTATAGTCCCTATTAATCCTAGACAATTTTATTATAATATATATTCATACAATTAAACTAAGTAAAAACTAAAATTAAAAGTAAAAACTAAAACTATGAGTTTATTACTATACTTCTTTTAATAACCAGGTTTAATTACTTTTTTTAATACAAGCATCATTATATTTTATAGTAGTATATACTCAAGAGATAACTCTTTTTAAAATTTAGTCAAATAATTATACATATTTTTTTTATTTTCGGTAAAAGATTCTTGATTATACATATTATATAGGTTAATATAGGTAGTATGTTAAATCTTGTAGGTATTCAATACCTATATACATTTTAGAAGTAAGAAATCATTTATTTTAAAAATTACAAAGAAATAACGAAACTCAAATCGGACAAAATCGTGTTTTTACTGTTTCATTTTTCATTAGTTTTTATTGCACATGTCAAAATAATTTCCAAAATTTAAAAAGTCTTTTCAAAAGTAGTTACCAATTAGATTAAATTTTCTACTGGAAAATGAGTACAAACGTAAAGAAAAACAATATAATCACAAAATCACTAGCTCTGCTCAGACCCTATAATTTATCCATGTAAGTTTATGTATATTAATTATTAAACATCCAAGTTTAATATAAACAAAGCACTAGCAGTTGGATAATGTCGACTTTGTACACAAATCAAAAATTACCAAACATAATAATATAATACATTCATATACATATTTGATATTATGTATAAATGTATTTATGATGTTATATACCTAGGTATATGCACTTAATATTTTTTTATTACTGCAGTTATTAATCAATATTTGCATACTATAGGTAACTACTAACTCAATAATTTATCTACATTGATGATGCAATTTGTTAACAATATATTCCATAATTTAATTAATCACCTATTTTATTTAAATAACTCACTAAAAATAAAACAAATACCAATAAATAAAATAATAAATTAGAGACATAAATGCGAATTCTCCGCAAAGGTATGATGTATTTAACATAAAAAAAAATCCCTCGAGAGAAATTCTTATTGAATATTTAGCATCCATGTTAATTACACCATTTTCAATAAAATTATTTTTTATTATTTTTAATGCTTACTCCAGTGACAGTAAATGATAAGAGTAAATGAGTCAAAAACATGTTTATTGTAATATATTTTTAAAATAATTTTAATTAAATTTGATTTTATATTCTGAGTAATAAGCGATGATTGTAGGTATTGGTTTTAAAATTATGTGTGTGTTTGTACACGTTTTATAGTAGAAAAAAATGGTTGGATCTTCAACTTCGAGAGTGGTTTCTAAAAGAAAATTTTATCTAGTTGGTACTACATTTCAGAAGTTAAAATTTTAATTGTGACCTCCCAAAAAGTACTAACTTGACCTCACTTTTCTAACAGAAAAGATATTTATGTTAAAAATCAAAGCATTTTTTCTATTATAGTTTGTGTATATAATATACACGAAAAACACACATCATTGTAAAATCAATATATAATCATATCTTGATCGTAATATTATTATTTATCAGGAAAATTAACAGACGACAGTGATGTACCTTTAGTAGCCTATCTACTATGCAATGAGATCGTTATTATACTAACAAACTATATTAAAAAATAAATCAAAAACATTGTATCAATATTTACTAAGAAAATTAACAGACGACCATAAGCAATTTCTATAAGCCATTAGCATTTCAGGGGGGAGGGCTAACATTTTAAATCATAATGAGCGTGGGGGGGGGCTAAGCCCACGATGTGAGATGCACCAAAAATTGTATAATATAAAATATAAATATTTAAAAGTATTAATACCCATATAATTTATTCCTGTAAATATTAAAATCAAATAGACTATTTTATTAGTAACTTTTTGATTTAAAAATAATTTACCACTGAACGATGCATAGTACGTATTATGTTCTGATCGTATAATAAATTTATATATATATTATATTATATAAATAAGAAAAAAAACCTATATTCTATTTACCATAATGATTAGAATTTAGAATGTTAAATTAGGTAATCATTAATTTTTTAACGGAAAATATTAAAAATTAATATATTTTCAATATCCTATAAATTAGTAGTTACTAAAATATTTAGAAATGTATTAAATTAGTGTATTTTTAGATTTTTTGTGAAGTAAACTATTTATAAGTTTTACAATAA